CCAGACGTACATACGGATACATAACAACACCAGACGTACAGACAGATACATAACAACAACTGACTAACAGACATATACGTAACAACACAAGACGTACAGACAGATTCACAACAACAACTGAAGTACATACAGATACATAACAACACCAGACGTACATACGGATACATAACAACACCAGACGTACAGACAGATACATAACAACAGACGTACATACAGATACGTAACAACAACTGACTTACGTACAGATACATAACAACACCAGACGTACATACAGATACATAACAACAACTGACGTACACACAGATACATAACAACAACTGACGTACACAAAGATACATAACAACAACAGACGTACATACAGATAAGTAACAACAGACGTACATACAGATACATAACAACAGACGTACATACGGATACATAACAACAGACGTACATACAGATACGTAACAACAGACGGACATACAGATACAAAACAACAACATACTTACAAACAGATACATAACAACACCAGACGTAGAGACAGATACATAACAACAACAGACTTACATACAGATACATAAAATCAACCGACGGACAGACAGATACATAACAACAACAGACTTACATACAGATACATAACAACACCAGACGTTCATACAGATACGTAACAACAACTGACTAACAGACAGATACATAACAACAACTGACTTACAGACAGATACATAACAACACCAGACGTACAGACAGATACATAACAACAACAGACTTACAAACGGATACATAACAACAGACGTACAGACAGATACATAACAACAACTGACTTACAGACATATACATAACAACAACTGACTTACAGACAGATATGCAACAACACCAGACGTACAGACAGATACATAACAACACCAGACGGACATACAGATACATAACAACACCAGACGTTCATACAGATACGTAACAACAACTGACTTACAGACATATACATAACAACAACTGACTTACAGACAGATATGCAACAACACCAGACGAACAGACAGATACGTAACAACACAAGACGTACATACAGATACATAACAACAGAATTACAGACAGATACGAAGCAACTGACATAGAGAGAGATATGTAACGTACATACAGATACGTAACAACAGACGTACAGACAGATACATAACAACAACTTACTTACAGACAGATACATAAAAACAACAGACGTACATACAGATACATAACAACACCAGACGTGCATACGGATACATAACAACAGACGTACAGACAGAGACATAACAACAACTGACTAACAGACAGATGCGTAACAACACCAGACGTACATACGGATACATAACAACACCAGACGTACAGACAGATACGTAACAATACCAGACGTACATACAGATACATAACAACCCCAGACGTACATACAGATTCATAACAACTCCAGACGTACATACAGATACATAACAACCCCAGACGTACATACAGATACATAACAACACCAGACGTACATACAGATACGTAACAACACCAGACTTACAGACAGATACATAACAACACCAGACGGACATACAGATACATAACAACAACTGACTAACAGTCAGATACGTAACAACACCAGACGTACATACAGAAAGGTAACAACACCAGACGTACAGACAGATACATAACAACAACTGACGTTCATACAGATACGTAACAACAACTGACTAACAGACAGATACATAACAACAACTGACTTACAGACATATACATAACAACAACTGACTTACAGACAGATATGCAACAACACCAGACGAACAGACAGATACGTAACAACACAAGACGTACATACAGATACATAACAACAACAGCCTTACATACAGATACGTAACAACAACAGACGTACATACGGATACATAACAACAGATGTACATACAGATACATAACAACAACTGCCTTACAGACAGATACGCAACAACACCAGACGGACAGACAGATACGGAACAACACCAGACGTACATACAGATACATAAAAACAGACTTACAGACAGATACGAAGCAACTGACATAGAGAGAGATATGTAACGTACATACAGATACGTAACAACAGACGGACATACAGATACAAAACAACAACATACTTACAAACAGATACATAACAACACCAGACGTAGAGACAGATACATAACAACAACAGACTTACAAACGGATACATAACAACAGACGTACAGACAGAGACATAACAACAACTGACTAACAGACAGATGCGTAACAACACCAGACGTACATACGGATACATAACAACAGATGTACATACAGATACATAACAACAACTGCCTTACAGACAGATACGCAACAACACCAGACGTACATACAAATACATAACAACAACTGACTTACAGACATATACATAACAACAACTGACTTACAGACAGATACGTAACAACACCAGACGTACATACAGATACATAACAACAGACTTACAGACAGATACGAAGCAACTGACATAGAGAGAGATATGTAACAGACGTACAGACAGATAGAAAACAACAATAAGCATATATACAGAGACATAACAATTGACTTAGAGACAGATACATAATAACAAACGTACAGACAGATACATAACAACTGACGTACAGACAAATACGTAAAAGACGTACAGACAAATACGTAACAGACGTACAGACAGATACACAACAGCTGACGTACTGACAGATACGTTACAGACAGATACACAATAACCCACGTACAAACAGATATATAACAGACGTGCAGACAGATACACAATTACTGACTTACAGACAGATACGTTACAGACTTACAGACAGATACACAATAACCCACGTACAAAAAGATATATAGCAGACGTGCTGACAGATAGAAAACAACAACAGTCGTACAGACAGATACGTTACAGATTTACAGACAGATACATAACAACTGACGTACAGACAGATACACAATTACTGACTTACAGACAGATACGTTACAGACTTACAGACAGATACACAATAACCCACGTACAAAAAGATATATAGCAGACGTGCAGACAGATAGAAAACAACAACAGTCGTACAGACAGATACATAAACAACAACAGACAAATATTCAGATACATATATTCAAAACGAGCGCGCTATCCACTGCGCCACCCGACCCATCATATACGTTATACGCACAAGAACAAATATCTGCTTTAGCTTTGAAAATGGCGTCATTGATGCAAAAAATATATTGTGTATACTTGTTTACCAATCATCAACGATACAAAAAATCTACGTACGGGAGACCGGGGCAAGTTCGGCCACCCCTGATATTTTTGTTTTTGAGCTAATATTTACAACTTTATTAAAGATCTTAGCAGTTTAGTTGGCTGGGCATTCACACGAAAAAATGGCGAGGAAAACTCTAATGTAAAATTACTAAACAGGAGAAAATTACTTTTGAAGGGATAGAAAGAAAATCATGTTCTCGCTTCTAGTTATGCGAACTTTCTGTAAACGGAATTGCTATTTTTACGGTCAAACGTGTAGCACACTGACAGCTTCAAATGATATATATAAAAGCAAAGCGAAGCACTCACTACCATATTGCTGTACGATAAGAATTTATTGAAATATCAATTTGAACCCGGACAGTTTCGGCCAATAATACCGTGGCAAGTTCGGCCCATGTAACGCATAAAAAGTCGTAAAATTGGCGGTAAAATCTGACGTTGTAGATTCTTATGGGCCGAACTTACCCGAATGCCTGTCCGAACTTATACCATTACCGGGGCTCGTTCGGCCATCCGATCATCCGACAGGGAAAATTAAATAATGTTCAAAAACGGTCGTGCTGTCATACTTCCCGGAACTTAACAAGAGGCCCAATGGGCCTGAATCGCTCACCTGGTATTAATCTCACACTTGAAATCTTAAAAGAGGACTAAAATACAACTACAGGCAGAATATCAGTGTTTGATTCATAAGAACCGATTAAAAGACTTAAACATATGACGCCCGTGACCTTGAATGTTGAACAAGGACATTAGGTTGAACAGAGTTTATAGTCTTCAAACCAAGCATGCTTCTAGCAAAATATCATTACCATGGACCTTTTGGCTATACAGAACAAATCATTTAAAGATTTAAAGATTTCCACCACATGTTGACCACTGTGACCTTGAATATGGGCGAAGGTAATTCATTTGAACAAACTTGGTAGCCCTTCATCCCAGTATGTTAATGGCCAAATATCATCACCCCTGGTCTTTTGCTCAAACATTGTTGGGCTCCATCCCAGAAAGCCATCAGCCAAATAGGAAGATTCTATACCTTTTAGTTCTTCAGAAGAAGTCGTTTTTAGCGTTTGACATATTTGACAGCTGTGACCTTGAAAGTAGGTAAAAGTCATTTTCGTTCTCAAACTTTGTTTGACTCAATCCCAGGAAGCCATCAATTAAATATGAAGATTCTATACCTTTCAGTTTCTCAGAAGAAGTCGTTTGAAGAGTTTGACACATTTGACCCCTGTGACCTTGAAAGTAGGTCAAGGTCATTTTCATTCTCAAACCCAGGAAACCACCAGCCAAATAGGAAGATTTTATAACTTTCAGTTCTTCAGAAGAAGTCGTTTTTAGTGTTTGACATATTTTGACCCCTGTGACCTTGAAAGTAGATCAAGATCATTTTCGTTCTCAAACTTTGTCGGGCTCTTACCAACAAAGCTTTTAGCCAAATAACATGACTCTAGGCCTGTCCGTTCTTCAGAAGAAGTTGTTTGAAGGAAAAGTTGACAGACGAGGACGGACGGACGACGGACGCCGCACTATGACATATGCCTTCGGGCAGGTGAGTTAAAATGGGCCGAAATTGCCCCGATCTCGCCTATTGTTATGTTGGTCTTAATCTCATTAGAGTTTATGTTTTATTATTATCCCTCGACTAGCCGACTTTAAATAAATATTATCTTGCCTCATTCTGAAAGCAGTATTATCTCATTCTGAATCTCTACACAAGGAAATAAATTACCGGGGTTCGATTTTCCTCTTGCACCGCCGACGATGACAGTCCTATCGTGCTTCCGGTTTTAATGTGTTGACGAACAGACCACAGACAAAAGAAGAAAAGAAAGCGACGATGATGACAAGCAAAGCATTATATGTGTTTTTCTCTTGTAGGCTATATACTTCTTCAGTCTAGTTATGTTCCCAGTGAAATAGTTTCGCCATATGGAAGTTTGAATTGGTAAGTTTACTTACATCTGTTCAACTGTCAATGCCAGCTGATCAGCAGACCAGGGATTGTCACAGCACAGGGTCAAGTTGAAATTATGTTTTATGTAATTTAAGTTATGCTTTGGTTGTCATGGTTGTTTATACTTTGGAAGGATTTTGTGATGAAATATAGGACGACGGATTTTTTGTGTCTATCTTATAGTTATTTACATTTAAACAACCCCGACCTTAAATGGCTTACTGTCAGCAAGACCCTTTGGTGACAGTGTATGACCGTCTATGCACGTGATTGAAATGACGTCCAATAAATAACCATTTGTCCACAGGGGTGCGGTTTCCAACAACAAAATTGTCGGGTTTTTTTTATACCTGAGGGTACCCTCAAGTTTGATAAGGTTTTAGAATGCCTACCTTTCATGGTCCATTGACTTTGTCAGCATCTCCATCAACTTTAAGGTTTTGCGAATAAGTTAGTTTCACAGGCGAGACCTATCAATTCGTATGGCTTGTTATAACTGTAATAATACTTTGATGATAAGTCTGAATGCATCAGTGTATTGGATGGTACCTACAACGTAGATAAATTGTATGTATATTGTTACGAAAAAAGAAGCCTATGTTTTGTTATATGATGTTTCAATATATGGTATATGTTCTTTGGCAGTAAGGACAGATCCTAGATGTTTTGGTACCCAGTATTAATTTGTATCTAAGAATAAGTTGTTTTGTAAAATAGAAAAATGCTGAAGAAGATTAAAAAAAAAATCTGCAACACATTTTATAAAATATCAAAATTACTTTTTAGTTTTGGCAAGCTTTAAGTATTAAAACATTTCTGTACCAAAATTACTGAGTATGGAAACCTCTGTACCCTGTTGGAACTGGTCAACCCCTTGTCAGTATAATGTGACTCGAAAGAATGTCACACTGTCATATCCAGGCTATGACATTTAGAGAGATGGCACTTTAATTATTATGTACCCCAGGAAAAATGTCATCGGGCTGCCCAAGAATATTTGACACACTGCATCATAATTTTCTTCTCATTTTCTTAACACAACATGGGGTACATTGTAAACAACAAATTTAAGCAAAGCAGAACATTTATTATGACATGGCTACATTTCTTGGCGGAGGAAGGTCATGGAGAAAACTGCCATGTGATGATATCATCATCAGAGTGATAAAAAGGATTGGGCAATTGGCTCCGGACCATCAGCAGTATGGAATGCTGGAGTTGACTCCACATTGACCTGAAACCACTTGGAGAATGGTGCATGGACACTAGTAGATGACTTTCTGCCCTTCAAAATAAAGTATTACTAATAGAAATTTGGATCGTCCAAAAAACCATGCGAAGTCATCTTAATTAACTACAATGATAGATGACATTTACTGGACACTACAGTATTATCATCAATTAACCTTTTCAACATGTACACTGTATACCATCATGGACTCATCCAGATGAATGTATGGTAGAGTCTACTCAAGTTACCTCAGGGTGAACAGGTTAAACTACCAAGTAGAAGTATCTGATGACCTGAAACAGGACCTCAACAAATGCCATGATTATTATCAGCAATATTGAAATGGTGTAGTATTCCTGAAAGAATGCTCAGTTTACTTCCAGTTGACTTATAATTAGCAGTATTTGAAGTAAAGGTATCACCATGATCAGTTAATTATACGATCACAATGGGTACAGAACAAGTGTAAGGTTTTAATGACCACTGATCAAGATTCATCTGCATACAACGTATAATCACACAGGTCCCAAAGATACCTAGTAACATATACAAACACCAACAAATGACTTAGATATTTAGACAGTTGTAGTTACAGCGGTGTAAAATTCATTTATTGGCAGATTCAACCCCAACCTCATTGATCACCGATAAATCATGTCAAGATTTTTAGTATTTCCTCTTGAAGCAACACATGTTTTTGTCAGGGCTGATTTCATTTGTCCCTGCACATACCAATGATATGTGTATTTTTCAAAAGTTTTCCTCAAAGTAAAATTTAAGATCTATATTTTTTGGAGCCCTTGTCTGTCTGGTGGTCGGAGATGAATCCAACGCTCATAGTCTGTGTCTGTATCATAAATTCATAAATGACCCTTAATTTTTGAATATCAATTACTTACATCACAAAATGTTTGATGGTTTGTTTCAGCGTGTAATCATGCAGAGGTGGACAGTGAATTTAGAGGGCGGACCTAGGCGTGTCAATCATGCTGCAGTGGCCATCCGTGACAGGATCTTCAGTTTTGGTGGCTACTGCACTGGGGAGGACTATGAGACAACACGGCCAATGGATGTACACATCCTCGATACAGGTAACATTAGCTTCAGGCACGTTTCATTACTGCTACTTCAGTCTCCATGACAGGTATAATCTCAGTGGAAACAAATTCCCCAATTTGCTGATTTTGCCAACTCGTGCAATTTCTCCAGCTCCTTCCAGCTGTTCTGTTGACAACAGACTGTACTGTTAATAATGATAGGTAGAAAAAAAAATCAGAATATGTTTTACATTTATTTTGCTTTATGTATTGTTAAAATTATCAGCATTTCCCAGCTATTTTATTGTATTAATTCCTTTCCTAAAAATATGTCTTTGAAATGATCAAGTGAAATAGTGATCTGTCTTTCATTACACAATTTGATTTATTTGAATGTGCCCCAGCTATTGTAATCCACCTTAATTGAAATACATTAAAAAAAAAAAATTTGAGTTGATATACAGTATTTGAAATCTATAAAATGGAATCTCAAATGAAATTTTTGTACAGTGAAGTATATGTTCAGATATATTAACTGTTTGAAATTCACATGTACCAACTGACAGTGGAAGTTTATAGGTACATCATCAACTTGATCTGTTAACCCTTTCACCCCTACGTAACTTTGGTAGACTCTACTGTGCATTGATTTGGAGGGGTCCATTATGGTCTATAGCGGTGAAAGGGTTAAACTAAATCTGCTAAAGAAACAAACTACCCTGAAATTTCAGTATAACTTAGTGCATTTTTTTATGTTTTGTGTTTCTTACTGAGTCCAATGTTCTGTATTAAACATCTAGTTTCTCTACGCTGGACACTACTGCCCATTCCTAAATTGAATGACCCCCAATACTCCCTCTCACCATACCAACGTTACGGACACACAGCGGTTGCGTACGAGGATAACGCCTATGTGTGGGGAGGTCGCAATGATGTTGATGGTGCTTGTTCTATCCTTTTCTGCTTTGACAGCAGTAAGTATGATTGGTAGGAACCAACCTTTCAAATCATATTCCAGGCCTCTGTAAGACTGTGAAATTCACGAGGCAAATTCTGCCATATTGTTAATGACAAAGATATAGAGACTTTGTCTGTTTTCTGAATCAGTTATTTTAAATGCAAAGGTCTATTGTTTGTCATTAACTGGGACAATAATAAGATGTACATGTATTAGTTCCTAGACTTTTATGGAAAAACAGATTTGCTTTTCCAGGAAATGTCAATATATAACTCCAGCAAGAATTCCTACCATGTCTTTTATTTTCTCTCCCAGCAAAATTGAAATGGTCTTGTCCAGAAACTGGTGGTAAAATTCCTATTGCAAGAGACGGCCATTCTGCCTGTGTCATCAACAATAAGATGTTCATCTTTGGTGGATATGAGGAAGAGGTGAGTCGTCTGTACATGTTTGTGTGTTTCTAGATCATTTACCATGTAACATGTGTTATAGAGAATCATCAGAGTGACTATATTGGGAAAATATGGACATTTTCTCTTCTCGCCTGCCTTCTCTTTGTATTCGATGGTGTCTCCATAGGCACCTCGTGTCAGTAAGCCTGTGGTCAATTAATGTGACCAGATGAGTGTCGTGCCGCCTTGTCAAGGTTAGGACATTTCAGTGAGCTGACACTGTAACCCTTTCACCCCTATGCAACTTTAATAAACTCTACCATGCATTGATCTGGATTAGTCCATTATGGTCTACAGTGGTGAAATGGTTAAGGTGGCCCCATCATCTGAGGATGCAGTTTTTGTAGGACCATAGCTGTTGCAAGGACACAAAATCCTGAACAAAGAACATAAATAAAAACACTACTTTTATATATATTACATAAAGCAATTATGAACAAAAGCGCCCATGTAATGGCCTTTAAGAGAGAGATACATGTAGGTGGACTGTGAGTATGTTTAAATTTTAACTTTATGCTTTTGTTTGCAGGTTGATAGATTTTCCAATGAAATCCATGCTCTCGATTTTTCTACTCTGTCCTGGAGTGCTGTGCATCCAAAGGTAAGCATTTATTGAACCTACGTAGAAAGAGAAATGTGTATAAAATTTGATTTGGTATTTGGTCTTGAAAGCGCAAATCAAGCTTAAAGAAATGCATGTATAATAAATTCATTTTTCTTTTCTTTTTTAAATGATTTGAATACATGTACAAAATTATCGTTCAGTAAAATCTTACTGATTAACCATTTCAGGGCACCCCTGCAATATGGCGAGACTTTCACACAGCCACCGGTGTGGGTAACAATATGTACATCTTCGGGGGTCGGAGTGATGAGGGCGGAGATATATTTACAAACAAGGAGATATACTGCAATAAAATCCAGGTGTTTGACACCATGACCAACACATGGCATGAGCCAGTGACGCTCGGCACCCCGCCGGTCGGTCGCCGTAGCCATTCAGCATGTAAGTCACTGACCGTCCAATGTGGATAGTCTGGTTTCTATTACTGGTGTGAGCACAGAATTTTCCGAGGTAGGATTATTTCCTGCCCACTATAGAATTCTTTGTGGTCTTTTTGTGACCAATGTATCAACACTAGAGAGATGGAACAAAAGAATAGGCTATGACTACTACAGAGAACACTTCAGAAGTCTGAGTGAGCTACTGTCACTACAGAGGATGCTTACTGTAGTAATAAGAGCAAGCTAGAGTTCCTTGAATATTAAAGTGCTTGAATAAGTATGTCCTTGTCACAGTTTATTTGACAAACAGCTCTGGAGAGATTTCTTCATAAATAATACATGTATCAGGCTACAGTCCCTACAGTGGACACTTCAAAAATAAGATTATACTACAGTTGCTACAGGAGACACTTACAGGACACTTACTTTAGAAAATATTGTTTATGTTATCTACAGAGGATACTTAATGTATCAACTTTTGTAAGTTGTGATTTTATGTTGTAACTTTTATTTTTCAGTTGTATTTAAAGACAACCTATATATATTTGGGGGATACAGTGGAAAACATGACATGCACTTCAAAGATGTCTTCAAATTTGATCCAGGTAAGTGATAACAGTGCACTGCCATTGAAATGTGGTTGACCGTCTACCAGATAGTAAGTAGCAACACCCTATTCGATTTATGTGTTTCCAATACATTTTCTTTCATGGGGATACTAAATAAAATTTTATCATTTACTGTTGGAAAAGATTTTTCATAACAATCAGTTTTACAATGTAATTTCAAAGGTTTAACCCCTCTGTGATTAAGAAACCTCAGGAAAGCTTGAACATATCATTTTCAGTGAAGATGCAGTGGTCAACAATTAAAGTCAAAGGTCAAGGTCCCTGTGCCAGACGGAGACAATGCTGTTGCGTAATTGACACCAAAGTTTTCCTGTTCGGAGGAACTAGGTATGTTGTCTTAAGTACATGTAGAAAGTGTTCCTGTTCGGAGGAACTAGGTATGTTGTCTTAAGTACATGTAGAAAGTGTTCCTGTTCGGAGGAACTAGGTATGTTGTCTTAAGTACATGTAGAAAGTGTTCCTGTTCGGAGGAACTAGGTATGTTGTCTTAAGTACATGTAGAAAGTGTTCCTGTTCGGAGGAACTAGGTACGTTGTCTTAAGTACATGTAGAAAGTGTTCCTGTTCGGAGGAACTAGGTACGTTGTCTTAAGTACTTGTAGAAAGTGTTCCTGTTTGGAGGAACTAGGTACGTTGTCTTAAGTACTTGTAGAAAGTGTTCCTGTTCAGAGGAACTAGGTATGTTGTCTTAAGTACATGTAGAAAGTGTTCCTGTTCGGAGGAACTAGGTATGTTGTCTTAAGTACATGTAGAAAGTGTTCCTGTTCGGAGGAACTAGGTATGTTGTCTTAAGTACATGTAGAAAGTGTTCCTGTTCGGAGGAACTAGGTATGTTGTCTTAAGTACATGTAGAAAGTGTTCCTGTTCGGAGGAACTAGGTATGTTGTCTTAAGTACATGTAGAAAGTGTTCCTGTTCGGAGGAACTAGGTATGTTGTCTTAAGTACATGTAGAAAGTGTTCCTGTTCGGAGGAACTAGGTATGTTGTCTTAAGTACATGTAGAAAGTGTTCCTGTTCGGAGGAACTAGGTATGTTGTCTTAAGTACATGTAGAAAGTGTTCCTGTTCGGAGGAACTAGGTATGTTGTCTTAAGTACATGTAGAAAGTGTTCCTGTTCGGAGGAACTAGGTATGTTGTCTTAAGTACATGTAGAAAGTGTTCCTGTTCAGAGGAACTAGGTATGTTGTCTTAAGTACATGTAGAAATTGTTCCTGTTCAGATGAACTAGGTATGTTGTCTTAAGTACATGTAGAAAGTGTTCCTGTTCAGAGGAACTAGGTATGTTGTCTTAAGTACATGTAGTAAGTGATCCTTTTCGGAGGAACTAGGTATGTTGTCTTAAGTACATGTAGAAAGTGTTGCTGTTCAGAGGAACTAGGTATGTTGTCTTTAGTACATGTAGAAAGTGTTCCTGTTCGGAGGAACTAGGTATGTTGTCTTAAGTACATGTAGAAAGTGTTCCTGTTCAGAGGAACTGGGTATGTCGCCCTAGGTAGCCTCGGCACTGATATCTGAAAATAAAGTGTGCATGGTTATTTTTAAGGAAACTTTTGATTTTGAATAATGTCTGAGATAACACATTTTTAAAACAAAAAGATCAAACATTAAACAGAAAATTGATTTATAAATTCTGTTGCTTCGATGTTAATATTTACCAAGAAAACATGTTAAGGAATGAAAATGTTTATTGTTAAAATGACTTCAGTATTGTTTTCTTGCAATGTGACCGTTTTACATAGATCAATTGTATTGGTGTTTTTGTTGTGTAAATCTGAATGGCTGTTATTAATACAGTTGTCATTTATAGTCATGTGAACTAAAGATTTCTTTGAAATTGAGTTTAATTCTATTCATGTCGTTGCTGGTTTGTCTAATACTGGTAAAACCCTCCTTTTTTGTTTGTAGTCCCACCCCCAACTCCGAGTCCACCAATACGGAGAAAGACTTAACGGATCACTCTGACTTACATGTATTAGACTTTGGTAAGACATGCAGAATCATTATTTAGCCTGTGTGCCCATCAGTTACTGTTACATCTCACTATTGATAGCTGTAGTTATATAACATAATCAATTTATATATGTCAGTGTCTGTCGAACTATGAGCAGAACTTTGCAGAATCCAAATAAGATAAACATATACTCTAAACTTATTCATATAAAAGGAAGAAATGCTAACGACATTCTATATATTGCTTTGATTTTAATTTTAAATTTCACACTAAACAGACACTACCTAATCAATATGTGTGGTTTCATTTCACCAAAATTGGGATCCCTATTCTTCAACCCATCTTTTGAACAAATTGGCTTTATGTATTGAGTTAAAAATAGTTTGTGTGTATTGTGTTATAAATTAAACTACTATCTCAAATGTTACCAACTTATAGAACCACTTATTTTTTAGCCCCATCTTTGAAGACGTTATGTCAAATTGCTGTGATAGAACACAAATTGGAAACACAGTGTTTACCAAGTTTCTTAAGGTAAAGAATGTTGTTTTTCATGGAGAAGATCGTTTTTTTTTTTAATCTTTGTAAAGATAAACTTACTAGCAATTATTTAATTTCAATTGATTATGTCTTAGAAATATTATTCTTGAAATTGATTTGATTAAGATACTTTATTAAGTGATGATAATTGAAACACAATTCTTTAATGTAATACATACTTCTGCTGCTATCAAATTTGTTGCTACATTATATAACAGGAGAAGAAATGTCTTGTAAGCTTGTTTTATCTCTTTTTTTTCAGATGGGAAATATCTGTCATGACAACAGACAATCAGATTACAAAGCCACATAACAACAATGGCTGAGAGTGATCATGTAAACAGACTCAGTATAGATTAATATATATGTTTCAATTTACCATGGAGACAACCTTCAAAGCAATACCAAGTCAGGGTTACAGTGACTGAAAAAGAGATGGTTCCTCTTTATGGGTATTTTCAGAAGAATGCAGTGTTTTTAACCATTGGATGATATGTAGACAGGGTTTTGTTTCATTCCTTGTGTTTTTTCTTCAGCAAGAAATTCCATAGATGACAGTTTAGAATTGATGGAGAAAAGTTTAAATAAGCTGTACATCAAGTTTACTTCGGAAATGCCTATTTTGTGAGTTATATCCAAAAGGAGATAAAATTATATGATAATTTCAATTGGTAGCGTGTATAAACTTGTGATTAGCTCAAGTTTCTTTTATTATAGCCCGGGATTCAAACATCAATGGCCTGAACTCTTGCGTTATTTTGGAAAATCTGGTAACTTTGGGTGGAATTCATCAACGATTTTCTTCGCCCCAAGAACATTTTTTTTTTTAAGAATTTGTGAGTGGAACAAACTAATTGTGAACACAAAAAATGTATCTGTCCTGAATTAACTATAGGTAACTAACAGTGCATATTGTGAGAATTTGACTGTCATGTTGATTTGGTGTTGTTATGACAAGTTGAGATTTTTTGTTTGTTGGGTTTGTCAGTGACGGTCCGTATTGCTTAGGAGAATCTTCTTTGGAGTTATCGTAGTTGTTAGCCGTCGTCAGATCATTACTGGTATTCCTCATTGTTTACTGACATTATGACAGTCATTATCAAACTTTTAATAATTATTCCACATTATTTGATGGAAGTTTTACACTGAATCATTACCCCCTCACTCCTGAAATGTTCATGCTGCATCATTTGGTGAAACTTTGACAGTCATTTCAGATCATTATCAGCCATTGTTTGATAAGACCATGACAGTCATTTTGGAGTTTGATCCTCAAGTCAGAATCCTTCATCGTCCACGTCAATAATATACATCCTGTAAATATGGTGCAATTGTGATAGTTATAGCCAAACTTACATATTTAACTCATCATTTAAATTTGTTTTTGTCTCATTACCAAAGTCATCCCACATACTTCATCCTCCATTGTTCGGTGTAGGTTAATTGTGATAGTCTATTGTAAACTTCATCCCGAGTTAATTTTAACTCCATCTTCGACTGATCATTATGACTGCTCCAACTCCATCCCTAGTTTAATACCCTGCAATATGTACAAAGTACCATGCATTAATAATCAAACCAGGGGAAGAATCAATGTGGTCTCTTTTCAGAGGTTGTCTCTTTACAGAGGTTGTCTATTTATAGAGTATTAATATATATTAGATAACTGCTTTGTGGGTTTAAAAAAAAATGGTGGCCTCTTAACCCTTTCACCACTGTAAACCATAATGGACTCATCCATATCAATGCACGGTAGTGTCTACTAAAGTTACATAAGGTTGAAAGGGTTAAGAGGGAGAATTGCTTAGTAGGGTTATTTTCTTGAGGAAATTACACTGTACTACATATAAGATATATTTATATATACCGTAAAAACCCATGTAATTTGCGCACCTGTGTAATTNGCATTTGCGTGAATAATTCAATTATTGCTGATCTCAATGGAATTTTTATCAAAATGAACAATTTGAGGATTAAGGTGATAGATAAAATGAAATTTGTAGGTGAGGGGTGTGTGCTTATATGTTAGATAGTATGAGGTAGGAAACAGGATCTATTTTGTGTTGTAGACATAAAGCAATGTTTGCTCTAAAGAGCTAGTATTGCGCCTGTAGTAGGTTTATGTTGACGTTAGAATGAAGACATGTATTGGTGTCCGCGTCTGTGTCCGCGTCTGTAGTAGGTACATGTAGACGTTAGTATGAAGACATGTATTGGTGTCCGCGTATGTGTCCGCGTCTGTAGTAGGTATATGTAGACGTTAGTATGCAGACATGTATTGGTGTCCGCGTCTGTGTCCGTGTCTGTAGTAGGTATATGTAGACGTTAGTATGAATACATGTATTGGTGTCCGCGTCTGCGTCCGCGTCTGTAGTAGGTATATGTAGATGTTAGTATGAAGACATGTTTTGGTGTCCGCGTCTGTGTCCGCGTCTGTGTCCGCGTCCGCGTCTGCGTCCGTGTCCGTGTGTCCGCGTCTGTGTCCGTGTCCGCGTCTGTGTCCGCGTCTGTGTCCGCGTCCGCGTCTGCGTCCGTGTCCGTGTGTCCGAGTCTGTGTCCGTGTCCGCGTCTGTGTCCGCGTCTGTGGTAGGTATATGTAGATGTTAGTATGAAGACATGTATTGGTGTCTGCGTCTGTGTCCGCGTCTGTAGTAGGTATGTGTAGACGTTAGTATGAAGACTTGTATTGGTGTCCGTGTCTGTGTCCGCGTCTGTAGTAGGTATGTGTAGATGTTAGTATGAAGACATGTTTTGGTGTCCGCGTCTGTGTCCGCGTCTGTGTCAGCGTCCGCGTCTGCGTCCGTGTCAGTGTGTCCGCGCCTGTGTCCGTGTCCGCGTCTGTGTCCGCGTCTGTGTCAGCGTCCGCGTCTGCGTCCGTGTCAGTGTGTCCGCGCCTGTGTCCGTGTCCGCGTCTGTGTCCGCGTCTGTGGTAGGTATATGTAGATGTTAGTATGAAGACATGTATTGGTGTCCGCGTATGTGTCCGCGTCTGTAGTAGGTATATGTTGACGTTAGTATGAAGACATGTATTGGTGTCTGCGTCTGTGTCCGCGTCTGTAGTAGGTTTATGTAGACGTTAGTATGAAGACATGTATTGGTGTCCGCGTCTGTGTCCGCGTCTGTGTCAGCGTCCGCGTCTGCGTCCGTGTCCGTGTGTCCGCGTCTGTGTCCGTGTCCGCGTCTGTGTCCGCGTCTGTGTTCGCCCCAGCTTCACTAACGTTGTCAGTGTACAATGTTGTACGTTGTGAAATGGCGGACAATGCAATGAGAATGTGTACAAGAATATTGTGGTATTTTGTTGCATAATAAATAGTCTGTAATGTACTATCTAGCATAGTCTAACATGTTATCTTAAGATGTTGTATTGGACCCAAAAGGGAGACATCAGCTTATCTTCTGTCTAAGGTTATTCTAAGCTTAAGGTTTTTAAATGTGCAAAAAATTAGATACACCAAACGAAATGAGTTATATCTTCAGTAAAAATATCTTAAACTATTATTTATTTCAGTATTTCTACTTTAATGATATAAAAAAAACCATAATGAACTAATGATATCAAGAATTGCAGATCTATCTCCAGACAGAGCTTTGTGTTATTTAAGTATGTTGTACATGAAACAAATGACTAATTTAACCTTCACAATTTTCAAATATGTTTTAGGTATATTTGTACCACTGTCTGCCTCCGAGTGTGATACAAATATAATCATAAATTAAAATATAGTGGTTGTAGACATGAGAGGTGTTCTCCTATTAAACTTTTATCAGATTAAATTCTCCACCGTAACGATTTTCTATCCCCTTTACAATTTTCACCTCCACACAATCTCAGAATTTCCTTTCTGTTTAATCAAGGTCATAAAGGGACCTCATAAGACATATGTTGAGTTAATATTTGTTTGAATAAATCAATTTTATTTAACTGTAGATAAATTCATCTTAAAATTCAATGATGAAAAATAGACTTACAGTTACTCTACCATGGTGTAAGTTATACTGGTGTACACATTGACAGTAAAGTATACTCTACCACGGTGTAAGTTATACTGGTGTACACATTGACAGTAAAGTATACTCTACCACGGTGTAAGTTATACTGGTGTACACATTGACAGTAAAGTATACTCTACCACGGTGTAAGTTATACTGGTGTACACATTGACAGTAAAGTATACTCTACCACGGTGTAAGTTATACTGGTGTACACATTGACAGTAAAGTATACTCTACCACGGTGTAAGTTATACTGGTGTACACATTGACAGTAAAGTATACTCTACCACGGTGTAAGTTATACTGGTGTACACATTGACAGTAAAGTATACTCTACCACGGTGTAAGTTATACTGGTGTACACATTGACAGTAAAGTATACTCTACCACGGTGTAAGTTATACTGGTGTACACATTGACAGTAAAGTATACTCTACCACGGTGTAAGTTATACTGGTGTACACATTGACAGTAAAGTATACTCTACCACGGTGTAAGTTATACTGGTGTACACATTGACAGTAAAGTATACTCTACCACGGTGTAAGTTATACTGGTGTACACATTGACAGTAAAGTATACTCTACCACGGTGTAAGTTATACTGGTGTACACATTGACAGTAAAGTATACTCTACCACGGTGTAAGTTATACTGGTGTACACATTGACAGTAAAGTATACTCTACCACGGTGTAAGTTATACTGGTGTACACATTGACAGTAAAGTATACTCTACCACGGTGTAAGTTATACTGGTGTACACATTGACAGTAAAGTATACTCTACCACGGTGTAAGTTATACTGGTGTACACATTGACAGTAAAGTATACTCTACCACGGTGTAAGTTATACTGGTGTACACATTGACAGTAAAGTATACTCTACCACGGTGTAAGTTATACTGGTGTACACATTGACAGTAAAGTATACTCTACCACGGTGTAAGTTATACTGGTGTACACATTGACAGTAAAGTATACTCTACCACGGTGTAAGTTATACTGGTGTACACATTGACAGTAAAGTATACTCTACCACGGTGTAAGTTATACTGGTGTACACATTGACAGTAAAGTATTTCTGTATTTAAGAAAATAGTTACCCCCTAAAGACTTGTCATTGCCTGGTTGTATGTTCAGATTCATTTGTACAATGTTTAATATACAATCTTAGTGAAATTTACCATCCTTCTTTAAGGCCACACTGTGCTTCAGTATCTCCCTGAAATATATTGGATTTGTGACATGTGATTGCACTAAATTTTGCATAAATGGAAACTCATTACCAGTGATACAGACTACATTTTTATAAATTTCTATTTCCATGGGGTCAAACTTTTACGGTTCTTTTCCTAAAACTTCACAGGGTATAATTTCACTTGATCAATTTCACATATCATAAATTGTCTATAGTTCAAACTAGCTGTCTCTCAGAAAGGCAACAGGATTTGCAGGGTTTATATCATAATGATATACATGTATATTTTTCAAATGTGAAAACAAGTTAAACTTCCATAAAATTTAAGCACTCTTAGCCATTTGAAAAAATAGTTACATGTTTTCTCCATGCTTTTCTTCTCGCTTTACTTCTTTGTGCTTTTGATGAGGAATAGATTTCCCGTTTTTATCGCTATAACTGTTGCTGTGCAAGTAATCATAGTCGGATTTCTTTTGTAATTTGGTTTATTGTCTATCCCGTTTCTTATGAATGCATTGTTTAATTTCCCGTTGCCATGGTAAATTCTTAATCCAGTTCATCCTGTTCATTCCAGACATTGTTTTATTGGAAAATGAATCTGGATTTCATTGTTAAATATAACCATATTTTAATAATTTTTTGTTACACACAACCACAATTTATTACAGTTAAAATGTTTACGATAGTAAATATTTTTTCTCTTTCTAATATTAAATACTTAATATATCACTGCTACTCTTGTGATCTTTGGAAGCAAGATTTATATGTGAAATATTTATCGACAATATTTTCAGATTGAATATTCAATTGTAACTATTTTGAACCATTTCTATTTGAATGGGGAAGGTAACAACTTTGTCAAATTTTGATTTTTCATACATTTGTTATTATGTTGAAAGAGCTTGATAGTCATGAATAATTTCACATTTGTTGGAGATATTATACAAAATATGTACATACCTTGAGTTAGCAGAAAACCTTAGGAATTACCTAAATGGAAGCTTATTTAATATGGTAATGTAATGAAAGTCTGTAAACAGTTCATATTGGGCTCAAGTTTTACCATTTTCTGTAGAGTTTGGAGTGCATAGATATAACTTACCTCAGGGTTAACTTCCTTCATTGAATATGTTTGAAAATGAACAACAAAATTATAACTTCGGATTATCGGATTAATTTGCATACCATTTTGATATTCCCAGTGAAATTTCAATTATTTACAAGTGACTGCCTTGCAATTTTTTGTACAAAATTATCTTTTTTAAAAGTCTTCCAGGTTCAGCACTCAATCTGATTTACCAATCATATTTATCTTATTGTGTCTCACTTTGCTGATTTTTACATTAACATGTATATTGTATATTTGCTTGTTCCTTACCACCTGCTGTCAAATACATGTGCCACCAACTCATACATACATGTAGATGTCTCAATTTCTAAAAAGTTCTTTGAACTGAAGATTAAAATTCATCATAAATATTCTTGTATTTCATGAAAGTCTTCTTCCCAAGAACGATTAAGCAGATATT